GGGGGTGGGGGAGGGGTTTTTGTACAGAATTAAAACAAAAACAACAACAAAAAAAAATTAAATTGGAACGGAACTGGGAGGGGGGAGGGGCCGGGGACCCCCTCCCCAAATCTCGGGGTCTCTCCAGGGTTGGGATTTATTGCACAAAGGGGGGTGGGACCCCCCCGGAATCCCCCAAACCCAAGTCCTCGGGGGTCCCCTCTGTCACCCCAGTGTCCCCTCGAGGGGACCCTCATGGGTGTCCCCAATGTCCCCAGGGTGTCCCCGGGGTGTCCCCAATGTCCCAAATGTCCCCTGGGTGTCCCCAGTGTCCCCCCCCCCCGATGACACGGGCCAGCCCTGGGTGCAGCAATGTCCAGCAGACCCATCCTGGACATCCCAATGTCCATCAGGTCCATCCCGGACATCCCAACGTCCGGCTGCAGTGTCCGAGTGTCCGGCCACAGTGTCCGAGTGTCCGGCTGCAGTGTCTGAGTGTCCGGCCACATGTCCGAGTGTCCGGCCGCAGTGTCTGCGTGTCCGGCCGCAGTGTCCAAGTGTCCAGCTGCAGTGTCCAAGTGTCCAGCCACATGTCCGAGTGTCCGGCTGCAGTGTCCACGTGTCCGGCCACAGTGTCCGAGTGTCCGGCCGCAGTGTCCAAGTGTCCAGCCACATGTCCGAGTGTCCGGCCGCAGTGTCTGCGTGTCCGGACGCAGTGTCCAGCCACAGTGTCCAAGTGTCCGGCCGCAGTGTCACATCCCACCCGGCCAGGCCGAGGCCAGACATTAAATCCCAGGCATGGTTCGGCCGCTCTGGGGGGAAGGACATGGTCAGTGACCCCCAAATCCCCCCCAGAGATCCCCAAATCTCCACCTGGAACCCCCAAATCCCCCCCACATCCCACCAGGGACCTCCCAAAATCCACCCAGAAACCCCAAAATCCATCCGAGAGCCCCCAGGATCCCCCCAAACCCTTCCAGAAGCCCCCAAATCCCACCTGGGACCCCCAAGTGCTCCCCCAAATCCCCCCTAAACTTCCCCAGAACTTTTGGGAAGTCCCAGACCGAATTTGGGGAGGGGGCACCTCCAGGACCCGCCCCGGGACAAATATCCCTGAAATCCTGGGGTTTGTACCCCAAAAATCCCTGAAATCCCAGGGCAGCTACTTCAAAATCCCCGGATTTGTCCCCAGAATGCCCCAAGATAGTGGGGATGACACCGGGAACCCCAAATATGGGGACGGATCATTCCCCCGCAAGTTCCCACTCCCATTTCCCCCTCAATTTTCTTCCCCTTCTTCCCCTCACGATTCCCGCCCTTTTCTCCCCTCAGGTTTCCCGCCCTTTTCTCCCCTCACGTTTCCCGCCCTTTTCTCCCCTCACGATTCCCGCCCTTTTCTCCCCTCACGATTCCCGCCCTTTTCTCCCCTCACGTTTCCCGCCCTTTTCTCCCCTCACGATTCCCGCCCTTTTCTCCCCTCACGATTTCCATTTCCTCCCCATCCCGAGGCTCCAGCTCGGTGCTCACCGCCCCGCTCCCCAGCAGCCCGATGACCCTCGCCCACCTCTCGGCCGTCTCCCGGTTCTGCCCGCAGTCCGGGGCGGCATCCGCGCGGAACGCGGGGGCCCAGCGGCACCGGGACCCCCCCGGGACCCCTACCCAGCGGGCCGGGGCTGAGGGACCCCCAGATTCCCCCTCCAGGAGGGGCCCGTCCGCCATGGCGGGCTGGGGGGGAAAGGGGGGGTCATGGGAGGCCGGAATTGGGAGGCGACCGCTGGAGTGACCCCCGCTTTGTCCTCATCTCCCCATTCCCATTGAACGGCGCCCCCGCGTCTCGCCCTTTGTCCCCGTGTCCCCCCCGATCCCGGTGCCCCCCTTTGTCCCCGTGTCCCCCCCCTTGGTCCCCGTGTCCCCCCCTCACCTGGCCCGGGGTCCCGTCTGCCGCCGCCGCCGCCGCCGTGCCCCCTGACCCGGAAAGCGCTCCCAGCTTCGCTCCCTCCCAACCAATCGCGAGCCGCCGCTACCCGCGCGCAGCCAATAGGAGGCCGCCTGGTCTCCGCCATCTTTGTTTCGGGCGGCGTTGCCGTTGGAGCAATGGAAGGTGACGCCTCCGCGGCTCCGCTCGGCCAATGGGAGCGCCGTAGCCATGGCAACGCCCCGCCGCGGCCGCCATGGCTCCTGAGGGCAAGCTCGATTTTTCCAGGGGAACCCTCGCGTTGCGCCGCAGGACGCGGCGGGGCCGCCCCAACTAACGGCGCTAATTAACGCGCGCCCGCCTTGCCCGGCCGCTAATTAACAGCGCTCATTAAGGGTCTGGCGGAGTCATACCGGCTCGGTCCTCCAGCGCCGTAGAGCGTGGGGCAGAGCGCCCCGCGAGCTCTTCCGGCGCGCACCGGAAACGCCTCGGCTCTCCCAAAAGCCCCCGCGCGGCCGCGCTCCCCTTTCTCTCTCTCCGTCAGCGCCGCCATGGTGGGTCCGGCCGGGGCTCCCGCATCCGCCGCCATCCGCGGCCGGGGCTCCCGCATCCGCCGCCTTCCGCGGCCGGGGCGCCCCGCGAGGGCCCGGGGAGGGCGGGGGGAGCCCGGGGGGGCGCGGGGGGGCGATGATGGCGGCGATGGCGCGGCGCTGAGCGGGCCCGGTGTCGCCTCAGGGCATCGACATCCGGCACGACAAGGACCGCAAGGTGCGGCGGAAGGAGCCCAAGAGCCAGGACATCTACCTGAGGCTGCTGGTCAAGGTACGTGCGGCGAGCCCCGCTGCTCCGGGAGCGGGACCGCTGTTCGGGATCGGGCCTGCCTCTCCCAGCTCTGGCCCCGCTTCTCCCGGCTCGGCCCGGCTCTGGCCCCGCTTCTCCCGGCTCGGCCCGGCTCTTGCCCGGCTCTGGCCCCGCTTCTCCCGG